ATGTTAAAGAGGACGTTAAGTTTGCTATAAATTGTTACTGGGATAACACTGATGTAGGAGGAATCCATTCACATCGCGTTTCAGGGTATACGCAAACAACAGGACAAAGTAAAGACTACATGCCACCTTACATGACAGTTTACGCATGGTATAGAATTGCTTAGTCGTCATTTTCAACTTCTTTAGCATATTCGTCAGGAGTTGTCTTATATTTGTTAGGAACTGTCTTTGAAAGTATACCACCTTGAACTTTGACAAGTTTGAAACGAGGTCTGACAATAGTAGTTTTATCTTCTGCTTGCAGTGTGTACATTTTGCCATGTTGCTAAAACTTCATAATATTCTCTTGTATACTTTCTTCTATTTTTACGAACACGAATGTGAGTACCTGTCGAGTTCCCATTGTTGTCATAGTCAATAGTATTTTCATATGGGTCGCGTTTAGGTATTTCTATTTTTACTTTGTCACCTTTCTTAAGTTTGAAGCCTGGCATTCTTTCTTGTTTGTCTCTTTTGACTAAACTATTAAATATATAGTCTTTCTCTAAGTCGGGGTTGTTTTTCATTTCTTCGGGGGAATGGTTTCCCAAACCTTTTTGTTTACGGCTATTGTAAATATTTAAAACTTGTCTCATCTTTGCCATGGAGAAATGTCTGTATTTGTCGTCATATGACATTTCATCTACCTCACCACCTTGTGGTTGGTTTAAGTCTCTTAAGATTTTTATACAACTGTCAATGACACCAAGAGCAGAATGGTTTTGGTCGACAATGAAATATTGGTTTACATTTTTTGAACGCAGATAGTTTTTAATATCGTCTGATTTGAAAGAACTTTCACAGTCAGATGTCAGTTTTGTTGGATGGTATTTGTCAACGAATATTGTCAAAGCAGTTTTCACATCTAAAATATTTTTGGACTGTAATGGTATGGCTTCACAATATCTTGTGTTTTGACCGACAAATATTAGCCAGTATGGTGGTCCATCTTCTCTATACCTCGGAATGTTTTCCAAGATATCCATAAACCAAGCATTTGGTGTTGAACTAAAGATTTTTATCATGAGTGCTTTCTTTGTCGCTTTAGAAACATAGGGGTCCTTGTTTGGATTCGTCATTTTTTACCCTATAAGAAATGGGTTTATTTGGCGCATTAGCAGGAGTTGCATCCAGATTTTTGCCCGCAGTGGGAACAATAGCCAGAGGTGCATTTGGAATTGGAAGGAAGATTTTGAGTACATTAGGTATACTGAAAGAGAAAGCACAACCTATTATACAAACTGTACAGAAAGGTTGGGAGGTAGCACGAGATGCAACAAATCTTATTCCAAATCCTGAAACAAGAGGAAAAGTTCAAGGATGGATGGACAATGTAGGAAGAGAAGCAGGAAACTACTATAACAAAGCAAATGACTACTATAACCAAGCAGGGCACTATATGGACCAAGGTGAAAGATTCTTTAACAGAGGATATAACCATGCACAACAATGGGTAAAACAACCAACCGCAACCACCTCAAACGTGGGGAATGTAAATTTTTTTACTGAGATGAAATGAACAATACAGCATTGAGACAAATGGGTTCAAGATGGATTTGTCGACTTCCAGTAGTTACACAACCACGTGTTTGTCAAGTTCTTCCTATACCTCAAGAAGTTTTAGACCGACTTAAAAAACCTAAACAACCAGTTGAAAACAAAACAAACTAAAATTTTTTACTGAGATGAAATGACCGAAGAAGTTGAAACGGTAGATTTGACACCACAAACAAAAAGTTCAGAACCATTGTCAAAACCTGTCAAAGAACTTACAGATGAAGAGAAAAATTCAATAATAGAAAGTGCCAGGTCTGGAAATACAAACCCTAACTACAAAGTCACTTTTCATAGAAATGGAACGGCTAGTATCTCAAAAAAGAAACAGACTCTCACAAATAAAATATTGAAGTCTGAAGGCGCTTTCGAGACAGCAGATGGGAAGGTTTACTTCACTGACCAACAGTTCATTATAGAACATCTCATTGACTTAGAGTCGAAATATTCTAAACTTTACAACAAACACAAAAAGTTGAAAGGAAAACAAAAACAAATGGCATATGATATTTACGAAGATGTTAACGACACAACCATACCTGCAAGTGAAGTAAAGTCAGAGGAACCGAAAAGTGACGAAAAACCGATAGAAGAAGGGAAGCCAAAAACTGAAGATAAACCAAAACCAAAGTTTAGTTTGGAAACTAAACCAACTCAACCTTCATTAGCTGGTATGGGTTGGCGTCAAAGACTTTTGGTAGCTGGTGGCTATGTTAAGTAAAAGAAAACAACATATTTTTTAAAATATATTTTTTTATTTTATTTGAAATGTACGCTGAGTTTGTTGGAGAAGACCGTTGGGAAACTTGTTTGTTAGATGAGAAATATGAAATTCACTGTTGTGAGTCATTTGAAGTCAGAAACAAAAAGACAAAAAGAGTTTTAAGCGGATGGGAGCGAAATGACGGATATGCTCTTATGGATATGAGTGGAAAAAACTATTTTAAACATATTGTCATTGCAACTCATTTTATACCGAACCCTAACAATCTACCCTTTGTAGACCATATAAACCATATAAGAAACGACAATAGACTTGAAAACTTACGCTGGGTCACTTGTTCTGAAAACAATAAGAACAAAGGCAAATTTCGAGATATTGTATTCGAATTTGTCGACGAACTAGAAGATGAAGCAATTGAAATTACAGACTATGGCGAGCATACGTTTGAGTTTTACTACTATAGCGAAGAACAGGACTCTTTCTACTTTTATACCGGCGTAAACTATAGAAAATTACAAGTATGTTTTACTAAGGCAGGCTATGCTTATGTATACGCTAGAGATACAGATGGAAAATGCGTTAAAATATATCTTAACAAATTCAAGAAGCTATATGGCATACCATTTTAAAACATTTTTTAAAACAGTATATTTTTACATATATTAAATGTTTCAGGTTGAAAAACAAAGAACAAAAGTAGCAGATACAAAACCGTTAGACTATATCTTTACAAATGCCGGTAGGACTATATCAGATGAAGAAATTTCATCCCGAACCACCTAGTAACAGTTTCTCTGACTTTCAAGTTTGGTTCACAACAAATGGTGTGCAACATATTGTTCCATTGTACTACGACTTTTATCTCGAATTGTCTTTCATATATAACTACGGAGAAGTGCTGAAAAAGTATTGAAAAATATATTTTAGGTGAAGAGGTGAGATTTCACCTCTTTTTTCACCTGTTTTTTCACCCTCATGAATTTTCATGAATTTCCTTAAGATAGAAAAAAAGTGAGTTAAAATGAGATTTTTATCGTTGTGGTCCGACGGTTAAGCCACAAACGAATGTCCGACGTCCCACCAAAAAATATTTTTTATTTTTATTGTAAGAACAGAAATGTCAGTCGAAGCAAAAACGTTCACGAACAAATCTAATGGCGAAACATTCACAAAAGGCACTTACAACGGTATTGAAGTCTTACGTAGAGACAAGGATGGTTATATAAATGCAACAAATATGTGTCAGCAGTTTAGGAAAGACTTTAGAAAGTTGTTGGAAAATAAGTCCTGGGAAGAGTATTATACGGCATTTTGTGAAGAATATACCAACCGCCGGAATTCCGACGGTTGCTTTTTATACAAGGTTCATGCAGGAATTCCGGATGAAATCAAACAGGTTAGAGGAACGTATGTAGACCCAAGACTTGTAAACTATATAGCAATGTGGGCCTCTCCAAAATATTGTATAGCAGTTGGAAAAATTATGGACTCCATAGACAAGAAAGTTCATGAGAAATTAGATGAAGAAGAACTTGAAGATACAGCAGAGAATGCTAAACCTTTGTTCGAAGAAGAAGTTAGAAAAATGCATGAAAAACAAATAGAACATGAACGTGAGATATGTTCTGGTTATAGAGACTCGCCATACGAACTAGACCAATGGGAACAAGAAGATTTAAAGAGAGAATTTAGAGAATATGAACTCGCTAAGATAGCATTAGAAGCTGCAGAAAAGAAGTTAAAAGTTTGGGGTCGTTTTGTACAAAAATATTGTGAGTAAATGAACCATTTTTTTCGACAAAAATAATGTTTAGGTGAAGAGGTGAGATTTCACCTCTTTTTTCACCTGTTTTTTCACCTCATGAATTTTCATGAATTTCATCGTATATGTTTTGTCAAGACTTCTTCGTATATGTTTTGTCAAGGTTTCATCGTAAATGTTTTGTCATGACTTCATCTTCGTATTCTTTCACCCGTTGAATTTTGTATAAAAAGCAACCGTCGGAATTCCGGCGGTTGGTATATTCTTCACAAAATGCTTGTTTTGAGGTCGAGCCACTTTTGGCTCCACCGTATTTTTCAACCAAAACTCATGAATTTTCCCGAAATAAAATAAAGGTAGTCCCACCAAAAAATATTTTTTTATTTTTATTGTAAGAACATGTTAGCAACAACAGCACCAAACTCGTTAGTCATGAACCCAACTTCAATGTTAGTAGAAATGAAAAGCTTCATTCCTTCTTCATATACTTTCGAAACAGAAATCCAGAAGATAAAGCAAGAACTTCTCCAAGGAGATTTAGACTGTACCGCAAAAGATGAAACAAATGAACAGTATCTTTATGAAATGCAGGATATTATTGACCATCTACCTAAACTTCCTGAAATTCAGCAGCAAAAGCTCACTATTCCTGAATTCGATGAAATAGAAGTCAGACCAACTGACTCAGTAGAAATAAAGAAGTTCATACGAAAGGTAAACTATGAGTTTCTAGGATTTCATTGCAACCATAAGGTTATGGACAAAGATTGCGACATGGTATATAAGAATGTTTCTGACATATATAAATCTGGGGAGTTTAAGACCTACGACAACTTTGTTTCGTTAGTTGCTGAATGTGTATGGCAGATAAGAGATAAAGATAGAAGAGGTAAGGTATGGAACGAACAAATAAGACCCGCTATGTTTGAGTTAAAGAAAACCATTGACGCCTTAGTCATACTTGCAGGTAAGGTTTCAATGTACAATGCAAAAATGAACCCGCAATGTTCAAAATGTAAAGCAGCAATGAGGAAATATAACTACTCCGTCAAAGAGATAGAAAGAATGAGAAACGACTATGCAGATTTAAAGAAAGAAGCAGAAAAACCAGCAGAAGATAAAATGGACATGTTAGAATTTCTGAACAAAAACTATCCAACAGCAGACGATTTCCTTCTATCTGATGTCAAGAAGAAGTATAAAGAAACTTTCGGTATCGTTAAAACATTTGACATACTAAAAGAAGAAATAGAAGCTACGAAATTGTTTAGGATTTCAAATATACATCGTACAATTCATGTAAAACGCTTGTGAAAAAAGAGGTGAGAAAAGAGGTGAGAAAACGGGTGAAATCTCACCTCTTCACCTAAAATATATTTTTTGCTGAAAAATGACCAAATTTCATTATATAACTGTTATGAGTGACGAAGAGAACTTTGACACTTCGTAAAAAAAATCCCTGAAATCATATCTTTTATACAAAATTCAAGAGGTGAAAAAAGAGGTGAAAAAACAGGTGAAATCTCACCTCTTCACCTAAAATATATTTTTACTGAAAAATGACCAAATTTCATGAATTTTCATAAGATAGAAAAAATAAAGTTAGTTTTATTTTTTTTTATTTTTTTATTTTGTATGTAAAGACAGATATGTCAACATCAGAGAACACAACAACTGCTATCGTTCATGAAGCCATAAATGAAGAATATGAGTGGGTTCAGTTTAACAAACAACTCCGTCTCATTCGTTCGGTCAAAGATGACATGTACCAAATGCAAAGTATTTTGACAGCATGTTTTGCTCCAGATACTAAGAAACCACAAGACTGGTTTGAATTAAATAGCACTCATGAACTCCTCAGTGAGTTTGAACATGTAGAACTTAAAAAAATGTACCAAGACAGACAAAACTTACCATCACATCTAAAAGGTATATATGTTCATAAGTTCCTAGTTAGTTCAATAGCAATGTGGGCTTCGCCTCGCTATGCTTGGTATATTTACAGACTTCTTGACGAAGTTGCTGAAAAATACATGTAAAGCGTTTATTTTTGGTCTTTTGTGAAAGTAAGAAAATAACGCTAATTTTATTTTTTTTTATTTTTTTATTTTGTATGTAAAGACAGATATGTCAACAACAGAGAACACAACACCTGCTATCGTTCATGAAGCCATAAGTGAAGAATACGAGTACATACAATATAACAAACAGTTACGTCTCATTCGTTCGGTCAAAGACGATATGTACCAAATGCAAAGTATTTTGACAGCTCTTCGTTCTACAAAGCAAGCATATCATTGGTTTGAAAACCAGCAGGCAAAAGAACTTTTAGAAGAATTTCCTCATATGTTTGCGTTCCTCGGAAAACCGAGGAACGAGATTCCGTACGAAAATCGTAAAAATTTGCCAAATAGTTTGAAAGGATATTATGTTCATAGACTTTTAGTAAATGCTGTAGCAATGTGGGCTTCACCTCGTTACGCTTGTTATATTTTCATGATGTTAGATGAAATTCATAGACAAGAACGTGAAGAGATGGAAAAGAAACTTCAAGCAAAAGATGAAGTCATTGAAGCAAAAGACAAAAACATACAGAAAAGAATACCACGTTCGGTACCAAAAGGAAAGGAAAAGAACTATAAGTATATGATTTACACTGAAGAGATGGAAAATGAAGAAGACAGAGATATGGTTATGTTGCATTTAGTCAGAAGAAACAACAAAAGCTTTTACGACCTTGCTAAGATTTACAAATCTGACAGAAATTGGTTCTATCGCGAAAACTTACCGATTTCAATGACACCGAATGAAGATGTGAAACAAATAGTTCAAGATACTTTACCTCAAACACACTATGATATGAAAGGTTGTACAATACTTACCTTCAAAGAAGATTTGCCGCTACTGAAAGAAAAAATAACAGAGTATTTTGACAACTTCAAACAAGTAGAGTAAATTTCAATCTTTATTTTTCAAGTTTGACCTTTACATTCTGCCTGAGGAAGTCTTTAACAAGCTCGTTAATTTCAATTAGATAAATTGCTTCGTCTAGGGGGTCAAGCTCCATACTGAGTCAGTACAATATTGTACTTTTTCAAGACAATGTTGTACTTTTTCAAGACAATGTTGTACTTTTTCAAGACAATGTTGTATAAATTCAGTACAATATTGTACTTTTTCAGAACAATGTTGTATAAATTCAGTACAATGTCTCTCAAATTTGAGTACGGCTGTACTTTTTCAGAACAAGTCTTGTACTTTTTCAAGACAATATTGTACTTTTTCAAGACAATGTTGTACTTTTTCAAGACAATGTTGTACTTTTTCAAGACAATGTTGTACTTTTTCAAGACAATGTTGTACTTTTTCAAGACAATATTGTACTTTTTCAGAACAATGTCTCTCAAATTTGAGTACAGCTGTACTTTTTCAGAACAAGTCTTGAACTTTTTCAGAACAATGTTGTACTTTTTCAAGACAATGTTGTACTTTTTCAAGACAATGTTGTACTTTTTCAAGACAATGTTGTACTTTTTCAAGACAATGTTGTACTTTTTCAAGACAATGTTGTACTTTTTCAAGACAATGTTGTATAAATTCAGTACAATATTGTACTTTTTCAGAACAATGTTGTATAAATTCAGTACAATGTCTCTCAAATTTGAGTACGGCTGTACTTTTTCAGAACAAGTCTTGTACTTTTTCAAGACAATGTTGTACTTTTTCAAGACAATGTTGTACTTTTTCAAGACAATATTGTACTTTTTCAGAACAATGTTGTATAAATTCAGTACAATGTCTCTCAAATTTGAGTACGGCTGTACTTTTTAGAACAAGTCTTGAACTTTTTCAGAACAATGTTGTACTTTTTCAAGACAATGTTGTACTTTTTCAAGACAATGTTGTACTTTTTCAAGACAATGTTGTACTTTTTCAAGACAATGTTGTATAAATTCAGTACAATATTGTACTTTTTCAGAACAATGTTGTATAAATTCAGTACAATGTCTCTCAAATTTGAGTACGGCTGTACTTTTTCAGAACAAGTCTTGTACTTTTTCAAGACAATGTTGTACTTTTTCAAGACAATGTTGTACTTTTTCAAGACAATGTTGTACTTTTTCAAGACAATGTTGTACTTTTTCAAGACAATGTTGTACTTTTTCAAGACAATGTTGTACTTTTTCAAGACAATATTGTACTTTTTCAGAACAATGTCTCTCAAATTTGAGTACAGCTGTACTTTTTCAGAACAAGTCTTGAACTTTTTCAGAACAATGTTGTACTTTTTCAAGACAATGTTGTACTTTTTCAAGACAATGTTGTACTTTTTCAAGACAATGTTGTACTTTTTCAAGACAATGTTGTACTTTTTCAAGACAATGTTGTACTTTTTCAAGACAATGTTGTATAAATTCAGTACAATATTGTACTTTTTCAGAACAATGTTGTATAAATTCAGTACAATGTCTCTCAAATTTGAGTACGGCTGTACTTTTTCAGAACAAGTCTTGTACTTTTTCAAGACAATGTTGTACTTTTTCAAGACAATGTTGTACTTTTTCAAGACAATGTTGTACTTTTTCAAGACAATATTGTACTTTTTCAGAACAATGTTGTATAAATTCAGTACAATGTCTCTCAAATTTGAGTACGGCTGTACTTTTTCAGAACAAGTCTTGAACTTTTTCAGAACAATGTTGTACTTTTTCAAGACAATGTTGTACTTTTTCAAGACAATGTTGTACTTTTTCAAGACAATGTTGTACTTTTTCAAGACAATGTTGTATAAATTCAGTACAATATTGTACTTTTTCAGAACAATGTTGTATAAATTCAGTACAATGTCTCTCAAATTTGAGTACGGCTGTACTTTTTCAGAACAAGTCTTGTACTTTTTCAAGACAATGTTGTACTTTTTCAAGACAATGTTGTACTTTTTCAAGACAATGTTGTACTTTTTCAAGACAATGTTGTACTTTTTCAAGACAATATTGTACTTTTTCAAGACAATATTATATTGTTTCAGAACAAAGACGGTTAAGACACAAACGAATGTCCGACGTTCCTCTTCCTGAATGTCTTCCAAAGCCAGAAGAACCGACAGCCCCAGCACCACAACAGACTAAGACTCAAACACTTACATTTTTCAAGCTTGACTTTTTACAATTTGAACTTTGTTCGCGTAGATGTGAATTCTGAAAGAAGTATGAGGGTCTTGTATGACTTTGTACTTCTCCCATAGTTCATGTCTGTCAAACTTACCTGCCATGGACTCTTTCATAAGTTCCATGAAATCGTCTTCGGACAATCCTGGGAAAGTACAATGTCAGTAAGTATTCTCTTTACATCCTTACTTAAACTCTTTGCTGTCTGTACACAAATGACAACTGAAATGTTAAAGTGTCTGAGCTTCTTAAGAATTCGACACATATCTTGTTCTCTGTTCTTTAACAAAGGATGAGAAGCAAAGTCATCTAAGATAAGAAGACATCTATGAGGGTACGTTTTCCAATCGTAAGATTGCAATTTCTTCGAAATGTATTCTATCTCTTTCTGTTTGTTTCTGAAGTGTTTCTTCTCTAATATTCTCTGCATTTCCTCATTTGGGTCTTTAAACTTCGAATTGACATACTCATTTATAGCATTGTACTTCAAAACTCTTCTTTGGTACTTCTTTATCCAATCTAACAACTCAGAGTCTTTTATACATACTAACTTAGACTTCTTTATAATATCTTTGAACGAATTGACGGTTTGGTCAAATTGACCAGAAGTACTACAAATAACAACTAACTCATAGAATGGGTTCTTCTCATCTAGTTCTTGTTGTTGTGCAGCCATTTTAAGATAAGTGAAAGTCTTACCCGACCCAGGTGGTGCGATTAGACCTGTTATACCATTCTGAGCAAATAAGAACTTGTCATGTATAGGCTTTATCTGAGCATTTTCTAACTTTCCTCTTGTTCTTCTTCAAAACATTCTCAAATTTCTTGTCAATGTCAGCAAACTTTTTTTCTAACATATTTTTAGAAAAATTAAAATTTTTATCTTTTGAAAATGTCTAGCGATTTCGCTATCTATATTCGAGACAAACTTTTCGACAGCAAAACATCTGTAGACCATAAAATCTTACATAGTGTAAACAAGAAAGGTGAATTTGTTCTAAAGTTCTGTTTCTGGGAATATGACAAGAACCATAAAACATTACAAAGAGCAGTCTTAAAATTTGTCAATGACAGACTTGTTGACAGAGATGACGCCGATTGGAAAGATGAAGTCCAACAAAAGTTCTTAGAATGCAAAGAAGACACATGCGCTGTTCTTGAAGATGAAATAGAAAACAGAATAGAAGAGCTATTAAAGGACAAAGAACTTTTACATAAATATGGTTCTGAGAAATTTGACATAACTCCACCAGAAAAGAAGAAGAAGAGAGAAAAGAAAGAAAAGAAAGTAGAAGAAGAGAAGAAAGAACCAGAGCCAGAGAAGAAGAAATTTGACATGTAAAAATAAAATTTTATTTTTAGAACATTTCTGGGTCAATGTCAATGTTCTCTTCCTCTTTAGGAGCAAACACTGGCTTAGACTCTAAAATCTTTTTACCCAATTTACCTTGAACTTCAACTATCTTAGACTCATAATATTCATAGTCGTCTGCTTTCTTTGGTTCATAAGGTATAACAAGTTTGTATGCTTTGCCTTCTTTAAGGTTTGAAAACCTTCTGTCAAAATTTTCCTTGACTGTTAACAAACCTTCTATGTCTAAGTCTTCAAATTTCGCACCATTTTTAGTCACAATAGCAAACTTAACTGGTTCGATGTTCCAAACTTTGTCAAATGTAGACTTTTCAAAATGGTAGAAGTAAACATTCAAATAAGCGAATGGGTCTAGTTCTTCTTTAAGTCCTGACATATATTTGTTGACTGAAATATATTTCGTCATCTTTTCTATCGGATAAAAAAATATTTTTTAAAAATTTACTCAGAAAAATTTTTCTTTGTATATACGCCGTTCTGAACATCTAAAAGACTTTTGACATTTGCCAAGAATGTTCGTTTAGAAGCTGCCATATAACCATATTCTTGACAATACTGTTTATACGAATCGTACAATGACCTTTCATCTAAACACTCAAAGTTAGTCTCATCTATAAACAGTTCATATACACTCTTGTTTGCTTCTAACAATGTTTGTCTTTCTTCGGTATGTGGAATTTGTCTTGGATTGAACTTAGAAATATCTAATGTCATGAAATATGAGAACAAGTGGTTGTAAAAGTTAGGTGTCAAAGTTTCTGCTAAGTCGTCAAAATATTCTGTATCTTGCATATGAGAATCTGACGTTCTGACAACTACATATCTTCTGTCAGAACTTTCTAACTTCATCGGAACGGCATTGTTTGAAACCATGATGAAATTTGCAACATTTTCACAAACTCTTTGGTCTTTATATTTTCTTTCAACAACTCCAACTTTGTCTGTTATAAGACTCTTCAAAGCATCTGAGTTTAAAACCTTTGTTGTATCTATACTTTGAAGTTCGTTACATACTATAAGTTTCATATTCTCTATTGAAGAGTTAAATTTACCGCAGATGTTTTCTAAGTTTGTCATATTCGGATTCGAATAGCCCTCTAACAGTTTGCACAAAATATCTGTAAAGAAAGTATTCTTACCAGTTCCTTGTTTTCCAATTATAATGAGAGCAGTTTCATTTTTAGCACTTGGATGTTGTAAGATGTTTGCAAACCAACATAAGATATACTCATAGACTCTTTCGTTTCCATTGCATATAATTTCTTTGACATGGTCTAACCAAGCTTCTATAACATTTTCTTTCCATTCTACTTGTTCATATTTATATCCAGTGAAGATAGAATAGAAGTTTGGAGATGGTGTATAGAACTTTATACGAACTGAAAAATCTTCTAACTTTGACAATAAGATATCCCAAGCATCTAACATCTTCATGCCAACTTGTACGACTTTTATTTTCTTAAGTTTTGTCTACATTCTTGTTCTGAAACTATTGTCGCTCTTGGTTTGTTAAAGACAACATCCCATTCTTTCATGACATAACATTCTGGGGCAGAGTCAACATAAATGACTAAACGTTTCAAATTCTCGACTGCTTTGTTATAGTCTCTAAATGGACACATATTTCTGAAGCTTGGAAGTCATAAAAATCTGAAACATCTATTCTGTACATTTTTATAAAAAATAAAAAAAATATTTTTTTTTATTCTTGAGCATTTGTTGCATTTGTTGTTCTTGAGCTATTTGTTGTTGAAGTTGTTCTTGTAGTACAATACTTTCACCAGTTGCATCTTCCAATTCGAAACTTTCTGCCGTCATTGACAAATACATAGGACATAAAAGTTTTACAGGAACAAAGTTTGCGTCAACTAAGGTTAAGTTTATGTTTTGCTAAAGTGTTTGAGTTTACTAAAGCTGAAAACTCTGCATTCGAATGAACAATAGGCAAACCAGCAGAGAAAGTGTTGTTTATACGCATGAGTATCTTTTGGTCATAGTAGTTTCTGTCGACATTCGAATAGCACTTTGAACCTAAGTTTGAAACAATATATAAAATAGGTGTGCTTAAAGTCAATGGAACAGATAGACCTTGTATGACACCTTTTCCTGTTATAGGAAACTGTTGGTAGTAAAAACCAGATATAAGTTTTGTATTATAGCTCATATCGTTTATAGTAAACTCAGTCGGACATCCAAACATAATGAAACCTGCTCTAGTTGCAGCACATGTTACATCCGTCCTTAAAGTATTAAATAAGTCAACAAAACCTGTTGGTGGTATATCTGAGTAAGTATCTTCAAAGAAGTATTTTTTACCATTCACAACAACAAAGTCTTCTGGTGTCAAAAGAGCAAAACAGGCTTTAGTCGTCATTGTGTTTAAAGTTAGTTTACAATACCGTCCTTGAGGACTTTGTAAGTTTGTTGTTATAGAATTATATGACTCAGGGTTTTTAGTCGTAATAGTATAAACCACTATGTCTTCTGCCATTTACTTAGCAACAAATTTTAATGAAATGTTGTGGTCGTCAAATATTTTTATGACGTCTGGGAAACTATATTTTAAGTTCAACGTTTCACCTCCTTTCATAACGTATATCTTGTCAATGACATTATATGAAACACCACAGCAACTAATGTCAGGCTCTATTTCTTTGATGTTTATATCGTCTGCCTCTGTCAAAAGTTTCAATAGTTCTTTCAAAATTTCATGAGGTGCAATGACATATGAGTTCACTTTTACAGGGTTGTGTTCGACCAAGTTTAACATTATACCCAAAGCTTGACAAATCTTCTCCTGAGTTTTAAGTTTGTCTTTAAGTTGTTGGTAGTCGTTTCGAATATCTGCAACAGAACTTAAGTCTCTGCTAACTTCAGGTATGTTGGTTGTTCTTTTACAGGAACTATTGTTATACCATCTTCGTCTTCGTATGGTTTCCCCACTTCAACATCTCTTTCTTTGACATTGACAACAACACTTTGACTGTTTGTTTGAGTTGGTGAATTTAACTTCACATCTGCCCCGCCATTAAACCTTTTGAAACACTTACGCTTCTATTTTTCGGAAATGACATTTTACTTAGAATAAAAAGATGGACGTATTTGAGTATCTCTTCGAATTGAAGCAAAACAAAGTTTACACACACAAACATACAAGTTCATTGACAGAATAGTTCTTTACACAAACAATGGAAAATGTTATAGAATAGCATTTGCTGAACCAAAATATTTTCATAAAGCAAAGAAAGTTGGTATAACTGAAATGGTGAAAGTTCTTGACGTTGACAAAAATATAACTTCAAAACTACGATATTTCTAAAGGTAAGTTTTTAATACAATATTATATCAAAACTGGCGTACTGTCAATATTTGACGGAGAGAAGTCAGTTCAAGAACAACTTACTGACCTGCTGCCAAAATCTGCTCGATGGAAGCTGTCGTTATACCAATCTGAGGAGCCCCAGCAGGTTTCATCGAACGAATCTTCAAAAGAGCATCTTCCGTGAAAAGTGCTATTGGTTTTGTAAACTTCTTTGCTTTCAATTCATCTGGACCGTCTCTGTCACCAGTATATTGTATTTGAACTGTACCAACAGTTGAAATACCACCCATAAAGTCTTCTGAGTCAGCAAATGGAATGCCAAGCCAAAAGTTTGAACGGTCTCCATTTGTATATTGAGTTTTTTGAGCTCCTGTATGAGTCCATACTTTCACATATGGCATAATAGAACTTTGCATTTCAGGGTTAATGGTTGTTGTGAAGTTGTTGTTAAAGTTCATAGCATCTAATGTCAAGTTGTATGACCTCATATCCTCAACTGTAGAATATTCTTCTCTTGGATAGTATTTGCCATCTATGTTTATATGGTATTTAATACCAGGGTTGTAGAAGCAAGAATAGTCATTTATAGTTCGTCTGAACAGTACAAACATAGTATCTGCATGTTTCATTGCAGTTGTTAAAGCAATATCTGTTCTTGCACCTGGGTCAGCACTTTGGTTTCCAACTTCACCTGCAAAGTCTTTGACAGATATTTGGTGTATAGGGAACATAAGTGGAACTGCAATATATTTGGCAGCTAAAGCATTTGAAATATCTGGGTCCAACATATAGACTGCAAGTCTGCTTTCTATTCTCTTGCATTCAAATTTTTCGCATGTGAACTTAACTGGGTCCCAAGCAGTTCCAGCAGCATTGAAATAATAGTTTACTTCAGTGTTGAGGTTTGAGAAACCAAAGTCTAAGTCAACTTTGTCTTTGCAAAATTCGGCGAATGACGTTTTATTTGTTCCCTCTACGTCTGTAAGAGTGAATGGGTCTTGTGTTGGTGCAATGACTAAGTTATTTTTGCTTGGAGTAAGTTCGATAGAAATTTTTCCTGCCCAGTTTGGCAAGTATCTTAAAAACCTGAAGATGAGGAAAGATGACAAAGGAACTCTAAGTTTCAATTTTACTTTGGTTACTGCTGCTGCAGTTTGTCCAGAAAGGTTAACATAAACTCCTGGAACGTTAGGGTCAAGTCTTCTTATTTTCTCAATAGTTGCATACTGGTCTGTTTGTTCTCTAGCTTGTGGTTGTACTGAGTTTCTCAAAGCGAACCATTCATAGTTTGCCCATGTTACTGTTTGAACTAAGTCAGAGTTAGAATATATCTTATATCCCATGAAAACTTCTGGAGCATATTGGTATCCGACATAGAAAATTCCATTGCAACCTTTCTTGTCAGACAACTTGGCAGAAGGTTTTATTTCAATGTCTTGTTCCACGTATAAGAATGAGTTGTCAATAGAAATAATATGAAACCTGTCGCAAGCAATATCTACTGTTGTTGAAGAACCTTCTCCAAACTCACCTACATTTCCATAAGAAACAGCAGTTGTATATTCGTAAGTTCCAGGAACTATTTCTGACCTTCTAATGGCATTGTCGCATTCGTTATACCATTCGGAAACATTTCCGTTCATGGCATCCAAAACTGTTGGCGTTATATTCTGAGCGGCGTACATTTCATATGAGTAAAAATATAGAATAGTTGGATTTATATGTCATAATAGAACCCACGTGGACCAAGCTTTACTTTCTTCCTGACTGAGTTTTTAACTCTTCTTTTTCCTTCATTGCCCTCTGCTTCAAGTTGTTGCATCTTTGCATTATGTTCATCTAGTATGTTGCAAATTTCCCATGTCCTTTTTGCCTTTTGGCTCTGGTCGCCCATCTCAGGTAACCTATATCCTAGAAAGAGTTTGTCATAGTTTGTATTTGAGTCTTCGCGTATTGTTTGCATGACTCTTTCCTGAGTTTCTGGTTCAAGCTCTTCAAACAGTGCCTGTCCATATGGAATATGCTCGTTTCCAAATATATTTTTTGTAGCCATTCTGGTTTTCTTTCCATGTTACCAACTATATCTTTTGTGAATGGGAAAGCTTCTACCCAATCTTTCAGTCTTGCGTCGTTTATTTCTGTAGTTGGTTTTATTTTGTCAAGGAACATGTTTTTCAATACTAACATTTCATTTGGTACTGTCCATTTGAGTTTTCTTAAATATTCATCCCTTCTCGGTTCATTGTCTGCAAAGTAAGTTTTTATGACATTTTGTAAACTTTCATTTGCAAGGTCATGTACAATAGGTTCTCTTCCTTCTCCCTCCCTAACTTTCTTTCTAAACTCTTCACCAAATATACCATCTCTATGGTTCTGTGTAGTTCTTTGAGATAAATGTTCTAGAACGTCAGGTGTTATATTTCCATCAGCCATGTTCATTTCATACTGGTCCAAAATATCTGCATGTTTCATATCTTTCAATGGCATTAAAGCCGCGCTGAAAATACCAGCTATATCTGGTTCACCATTGACTTCCATTGCGTCTACAACTTCTTGGAATTGTGGTTGTAAGTTTATGAACCACCTATCTGGATTAGCTTTATGACCCCATCTCATTGTAGTTCCATCGTCTGCAGAAACAAAAGTAGGTTTGTTTCCATCTTGGTTAGGTTCTGAATGAACTTTAAACAATGTTTCATTTCTATATGTTTTCTTGAAATTTAACCTTTTATTTTCACCGAGTTCATCCGAAGATTGAACGTTAAATGCTCGTAAGTAAAAAGGGTTGTTGTATTTGTGTACATTTTCTTTCAGTGCTTCCATTCTATGCTGAATATTTTCATCTGGTGTTGGAGTCTTTTGTATGTCGGCAAACATTTTTCGATATTCTTCTACTATGTCAGCCGAATTTTTTTTAGACTCTTGGAAATATTCCATATTCTCCGCATACTCTTGTTGAGGGTCAAGATTTTTCGGCTGTTCCAAATCTTCATCTAGTTCTGTGAAGTTAGTTTCCAAAGGAGTGACTTGTTCGTTTCCTTCAGGCTCTTCTAGCTGTTGTTGCTGAACTATTTCTTCCATGTCTGGTTGTATCTGAACTAGTTCTTCCTGTGGAGTTTCTTGTACCTCATCTGCTGGCATTTCATATATTCCGAGACCGTTTTTAACAATTTCCCTATCTACGTCATCCGCATTCATAAGCTTTTGTTCTTTCGTTCCGTCTCTATTTTTTACGCGTTTCATGACGAAAGTTGAATTGTCATTTAGCTCTGACATCAAATATCTCGGAGTAAATTCATTCATGTCATTTGGATGATATGCTATTAAATCATATCCCTTAGCGAGCTTGTATTTTCCAGGTTTGAGATTATATCCGTTTTGGTGCTGAGCCATAAAGCTAAATAGGTTCGGGTCAGTATTTCCATCCTTGAACTTTCCAATAGCTTCTTTATATCTGTCACTAAAGTCAACAGTATCTGGGAAACCACACTCTTCTTTAAGCATTTTTAAGAATTCTTGGTTTCCTTGTTCTCTACTTCTTTTATGTCCTTGCTCTGTTTGTGGTTGTTGTTGTGCAGGGTTTTGAACTGTTGGTTGCTGTGCTGGTTGTTGTGCTGGTTGTGGAGGTGGTTGTTGTGCTGGTTGTTGTTGTTGTGTTGGTTTTGGTGCATGCTTGTGTCTATGTCCATGTGACGATGTAAATGTTTTAGGTAGTCCTGGTGCAGGTGCTTCTCTTGGAGGGTTTGGTGGTATATAAGTTCCACCAGCTGGCACATATGTTCCATCTGCAGCATAATGTCCTACCTGACTTTTCGTTCTTAAGAAAGCATTTACTAGGTCTGTTTTGGTCTGTTGTAACTCTTTTTCTTGACTTTCCACAACAGTTGCTCTAACGGCGTCATAGGCACTTTGAACTGCCTGTCTCGTTGCTGCATCTGTTATTTTCGTCATATTTTGTGCTACTTCTCTTAACTCTTTGTCGAAACCTTCAGACTTCAGTTTCTTTCCAGATGAGAAGTCGTTCACTTGTTTCACCTTACTATGAAGAGCTTCGAAAGCGTTCTTAAAGTCAGCATTTGTTAAAGCTTCATTTGAACTATCTTCATCCGCTTGTATTTTTGTCCTTATTGACCCTATGAGTTGGGCTGCTTTAGCGTTGGCTTGGGCATCTAACCAGTCATTGTTAGCTTTTATATATTCTGCGCTTTTCATTGCCTTTTGCATAGCCGCGTCGTCATTTTTACTTTCTTGTGCTAAGTTTTCATACTGTACGGTTTGGTTTTGCAACTGTAAAAGTTTTTCTGCCTTTACATTTGCTTCAACTTCTTTTTTATACTCATCGCTATCCATATATGTCTTCAGGGCTTTTTGTTTTATCTCTTCATCTTTCAGTATTTTATATTGAGTAGTATGGTTTTTCAAATTTATGACATCTTGTTCCATTTTTGCTACTTCTGTTGCTTTTTCTGACACTTTTTTCGCATATTCCTCTGTACTTAGTTCTTTCAGTTGTTCTTCTTTCTTCTTTTTCTCTACGTTTAACTCATTGAGTTTCTTTGTGTGTCTGTCATATTCTAGTTTCTTTTCGTTTTCACTTATTTGCTTCTGTATGTCTATGTTTGACTTTTTGACATCTGTTATTTGATTTTTGAGTGAACTCAAATTCATTTGACTTTGAGGGTTATAGGCTGTTCCGTCTGCAGCTCCACCATAGCCTGCCATTTTCGCTAAAAGTGCCGCTCTTAAACCTCCACTCTGTGCACCAACAACTCGGTTTAAAAGCATAGGATTGCTTGACATTTGTTGCAACATAGTGGGGTCATTCAGCATTTGTTGTTGCAACTGTTGTTGTGGTGTTAGTTTTACTATTGGATGTTTCAATGCTCTCTTCCTCTTACGTATATTCTTACGTAGCTTACGTGGCATTTTAAGTGAAGTTAAAAAGCGGCTTTTGACAGATGTTTTATTGTGACTTCTTCGTAAAGACTTTGTTGAGATTTCTTCGTAAAGACTTTGTTAAGACTTCTTCGTAAATGTTTTGTCAAGACTTCTTCGTAAATGACCAAAAATATATTTTAGGTGAAGAGGTGAGATTTCACCTCTTTTTTCACCTCTTTTTTCACCCTCTTGAATTTTCATGAATTTCTTCGTAAAGACTTTGTTAAGACTTCTTCGTAAAGACTTTGTTAAGACTTCTTCGTAAAGACTTTGTTAAGACTTCTTCGTAAAGACTTTGTTGAGATTTCTTCGTAAAATCAGACAAAAATATATTTTAGGTGAAGAGGTGAGATTTCACCTCTTTTTTCACCTCTTTTTTCACCTCATGAATTTTCATGAATTTCTTCGTAAAGACTTTGTTAAGACTTCTTCATCTAATTTCTCATGAACTTTCTTGTCTATGTTTTGTCAAGATTTCATCGTAAAGACTTTGTTAAGACTTCTTCGTAAATGACCCTAGTAGTATATTTTTGGTGTAAATTTCATGAAAATTCAAGAGGGTGAAAAATTAGGTGAAAAAACAGGTGAAATCTCACCTCTTCACCTAAATTATATTTTTGGTGTAAATTTCATGAAAATTCAAGAGGGTGAAAAATTAGTGAAAAACAGGTGAAATCTCACCTCTTCACCTAAATTATATTTTTGGGTCATTTACCTCACTTTACGAAGAAATCTCAACAAAGTCTTACGAAGAAGTCTTGACAAAACATTTACGAAGAAGTCTTGACAAAACATTTACGAAGAAGTCTTGACAAAGTCTTTACGAAGAAGTCTTGACAAAGTCTTTACGATGAAATCTCAACAAAGTCTTTACGAAGAAATCTTGACAAAGTCTTTACGATGAAATCTTGACAAAGTCTTTACGAAGAAGTCTTGACAAAGTCTTTACGATGAAATCTTGACAAAGTCTTTACGATGAAATTCATGAAAATTCAAGAGGTGAAAAATGAGGTGAAAAACAGGTGAAATCTCACCTCTTCACCTAAAATATATTTTTATTGAATTCTGTATAATATTCTGAGTAATATGACAGATGTTTATATAACACTTTCTCCGGTTTATAGGACCTCTCTCATATTCTATCTTGTCATATCAAAACTCATAGTCATGTTTGTCCTCTAAGACTTCATTTATACTAAACATCTTCAGGGCTAGAAGGCACGAAGTGCCTGGAAGCCCCACTACCTTTTTTTTTTTTTTTTTTTTTTTTTTTTTTTTTTTTTTTTTTTTTTTTTTTATATCTATGCAAATCTCATCTAAATTTTTTTGAAACAAACCGCTACCATTTTATAATGGTCCATCTTAAATTCATCATAAATTCTGGTACATGTTAGTACCAGAGTCTTCAAATCTCAAACACTCTGGTACCAACATGTACCAGACGCGAGTTTCCAATGCCCTCGTACGATTTTCTATTAAGATCTTCTTGAATGAGAAGGTCTTCATAGAAACTCGTGCGAGGGCTTCTCTTTAAATACTCTGGTACCTGCTGGTATCGGAGTCGACTTTACAGCCCTTTCCCCAATTTTGAAGCTGGGGAAAGTTTTCAAGCAATGAAAGGGAAGCTCTCGCTATGAGGTGAAAATCTAGAATTTTTACCTCATAGCGAGTAATCCTTTGTTAATTGCTTGAAAACTTTCTTCAAATTATCAAAATTTCGAGGAAAGTTTCCTTGCTTCAAAGTAGAGATGGAGCCTTTGAGCCACTGCATATAGGTCAGTGACTCAAAATACTCCATCTCTACTAGAAATGGCCAAAATTTGGGTCGCAATCTTTGAAATGCGACGCAAGTTTTGGCAATTTCGCGAGGGACTTGCTCCATTTGGTGCATAGATTCACACTCTATGCACCAGATGGAACAATTCTTTCGCTGACAGCGGGAAACTTTGTCTGAATAGTTTAACATTCAGACAAAGTTTTCCGCTGTCAGAGAGGGAATGGAAGGGTAAGAGGTATATATTCATAATGTATACCTTTACCCTTTCATTCCCTCGAGAAAGTTCAAAAACTTGGGTGCAATCAGAACTGATTGCACCCAAGTTTTTGAAATTTGTATAAGGAATTGTTGGCTATGATGCACTGATCATGAATCAGTACATCATAGCCAACAATTCCTTCGCAACAGCGGGAAACTTTGTCTGAATGTTAAACTATTCAGACAAAGTTTCCCGCTGTTTGCGAAGGAATGGAAGGGTAAGAGGTATACATTATGAATAATACCTCTTACCCTTCCATTCCCTCGAGAAAGTTCAAAAACTTGGGTGCAATCAGAACTGATTGCACCCAAGTTTTTGAAATTTGTATAAGGAATTGTTGGCTATGATGCACTGATCATGAATCAGTACATCATAGCCAACAATTCCTTCGCAAACAGCGGGAAACTTTGTCTGAATGTTAAACTATTCAGACAAAGTTTCCCGCTGTTTGCGAAGGAATGGAAGGGTAAGAGGTATACATTATGAATATATACCTCTTACCCTTCCATTCCCTCGAGAAAGTTCAAAAACTTGGGTGCAATCAGAACTGATTGCACCCAAGTTTTTGAAATTTGTATAAGGAATTGTTGGCTATGATGCACTGATCATGAATCAGTACATTATAGCCAACAATTCCTTCGCAAACAGCGGGAAACTTTGTCTGAATGTTAAACTATTCAGACAAAGTTTCCCGCTGTTTGCGAAGGAATGGAAGGGTAAGAGGTATACATTATGAATATATACCTCTTACCCTTCCATTCCCTCGAGAAAGTTCAAAAACTTGGGTGCAATCAGAACTGATTGCACCCAAGTTTTTGAAATTTGTATAAGGAATTGTTGGCTATGATGCACTGATCATGAATCAGTACATCATAGCCAACAATTCCTTCGCAAACAGCGGGAAACTTTGTCTGAATAGTTTAACATTCGGACAAAGTTTCCCGCTGTCAGAGAGGGAATGGAAGGGTAAGAGGTATATATTCATAATGTATACCTCTTACCCTTTCATTCCCTCAAGAAAGTTCAAAAACTTGGGTGCAATCAGTTCTGATTGCACCCAAGTTTTTGAACTTATATAAGGAATTGTTGGCTATGATGTACTGATCATGAATCAGTACATCATAGCCAACAATTCCTTCGCAAACAGCGGGAAACTTTGTCGAATAGTTTAACATTCGGACAAAGTTTCCCAACTTTCAAGCCGAAATTCGCGGATACCATTCACCAACTAGCTCTTGCTATGATGGTTATTAAAAATCAAGATCTATATTAAATTCAAAATCTACTCAAAGTCACTAATGTTCGATTTCGGAGTGTCAAATTACTGTACTACAGTTGCTGCTTCTTCTGCAACTTGCGTATCTCTGTAACGAAGAAAAAAAATATGTAAATGTTTTAAAAAGTAAGTGTTTATTCTTATTAATCTGACTGAGCTTAGTAAGAAGATGTAATCGATATTGTTAATTTGTGTTAAAAATTAGATTTTATTTTCGATTTTAAAATATTACCGAATTAATTTCTTTGATTGGCTCTCCTCTCGCGGAAATGTTGAAGAGAAATCCTCAAATCCTTAATTTCTCCATCAACTTTCCAAAGGGGTTCTTTGGTGGTATCATATTTTTCGCTGATATCATAAAATTTGTTTGGTGTAAACCAGGTATGTATTTCTGGATTTTTTGGTAACTGTGTATGTGGTGTTGCGTTATAATTTTCGATTAAATTTTGAATTTGATCCCAAGCTACCTCATCAACTTGAATATTCTGCCAAAATCTTTCGATTTTGCCATTCATGTAAGGGCAGTGTGGTATTATCGTGATTGATTCGACGTTTGCATTTTTTAATAAATTTTTGAAAACACCGTAGTTTTCAAGCCCATTGTCACTCCATATGGCAAACGGTTTGCCATATACATCGAAACATTGTTGAATGACACGACTTGTTTGTGCCGCTTCTTTAGTTTCGAGATGTGACCAAGC